CCCCTTTTTGCAGGTGGAATTTCTCTCACTTCCAGTACCAGGGGAGGGCACAGATCACTTGAGGAGCTGCTGCTGCAGGGTCCCCATGCAATGTGACCAAGTAATCTTTTGCTGTAAGCCAATTGCAGAGGAGCCCCCTCCCGGTGCCACTGCACCTGCTGCTGCTCTGCAGCTCACCTCCATCTCCCACCCCTGCCTGACACCACTGCCAAGGCAGGACTGTGGGCATATTCCTGTCTTGTACTACATTGCTTGTGTCACATTGGCCCTTATGCACCTTGCTGGGAGCTTGTGCCAAGCTTATCAGCTGGCTTTTCTTTACCAGGAATGAGGAATAGCAGTCTGCAGACTGGTGTAGGGGAGAACAGTGCTTTAGTTTGGAATATTCCTTCCCGCATGTTTCCCCTTGAGCTGACCCTACAGTAGCAAATAGTTACTTCCTGGAAATGACGTGTAACTCCAGAAGCCTGAAAGACTCTAGCCCTCGCAACACAGCTGGTGAGCCAGGTAATCCCCACTGCTGAAATACAGCTCATCCCACCATGGAAACCTCCCTCCTCAAATAAATCAGAGTTGGGACCTTTGCTCCAATCTGATAATTCCCTACTCCCATGAGCAGGGCTGGTTATAGGCATCAGGAGCAAGCGCTGCTGTGCAGCTCCACCTGCTGTGACACAGCCCCAAGGAGGTCCCTGCTGGGACAGGGGGACTTGCCTGCTCCAACAGAGGTCTTGATGGCAAATGGCCACTGCTGGGGACTGGACAACCACAGAACTTAGGCTCATTTTCTTCCTCTGTGGAAAGTATTTGCAACATGGAAGCATCAGAGGAAGTCATTGCCCACAATTTCAAGAGCACCAAAGAGGTGCATGGGGACCACGAGGGAGTTGTCCATGGGCAGAGCCTGCCTGTCAGGGTGAGTGACTGGGGCTGAGGTGCTCTTTGGTCATTGTCATTTAATGGTGGTGTGAGTCAAAATCATCATCTTTGAGGAGCTGGTCCTTCTCTAGGCTTTCCTCTCACAGATGGAGTGATTTCATATTCGCCTGCAGAGGGAGATGCCTCCTCTTTATTAGACAAATTTTGTTGACACAGTTTGGTGCTGCCCCCTCACCAGACTGGAAAAACCAGCTATGGAGCTGACGTGGCCCTGCTGCAGCCCACGACCAGGCTCTCCCGTAGGGATGCTGCCAGGGGGTATGTGAGGACCCTCCCACATACAGAAGTGCTGGGGATGAAGCAGCAGTAGCTTATTAGCTGTTCACAGAGTCCTGCAGGAGAGCAGCATTTGAGGCAGTGCCAGGCCCCGCTGTGTGCTCCAGCAGTGTTATGGCCACTGACATAGGGCTAAGAGAGGGGTTGCAACAGGAGCGGCGTGAGTGTGTGGCTTCACCCCTTCCCTGTCCCCAACAAGGAGCTGCTCGCAGCAGAGGTGCTGCCCCCAGCCCAGAGTTTGGGCAGAGCTGCATAGCCATCACATGGAAAACGTGCTCATTTGCAAATCCAGTGTGTCTCAAATGCTGGGATGGCTCCCCCTCTCAGGACTGCCATGCCTCACGCATAGAGCAGGTTTGTGAGGAGCTACCAGGGCTGGCCAAACCTGAAAAGCTGGCTCATACGCGCCCCAAACTTCTCCCTACCCACAGAGCCACTCAGGGCCCATGCAGGGAGTTTTGCACACAGTAACATGACTGCTGGCATTTCGGCATCCCGCTCAGGCTCCCCTGTGCCTCTCCAAGAGCAAGACAGAGGGGCAGAAGGCAGCTTTGCACTGTGCAGGACTCAGTTGGGGTTGCAGCTCCTGGGTGAGGCTCCTTCAGCCCTCTAAGTATTGATTTATGCCCTACTTTTCCTTGAGGGGGGATTAAAAAAAAAAAAAAAAACAAAAACGGAAGTTTCCTGCTTGCTGCCTCATAAACCATAGTTACACCACGGCCCTACCCACCTGCCTCAGTGCCTGTGACAGGGGAAGGCACATGGTAACCAAGAAGCACCTTACACAGAGATTTGGTACCAAGCTAAAGGCAAAGCTGCCTGAAGAATAAAGCTCACCTCCATCCCTTCCCCCACCAAGCTTTTAATGTGTGTGGCAGGCTACTCATTATTCATAATTGAACTTAATAACTAGCTTAAGGCTTTGTTATACTTTCCTTCTGTATTCAGTACTGAAAGAATAACAAGGAGAAAAGTAAAGAGAGAAAGCTATGTGTTTAATATGAGAAGATTTACAGAGGATGGCAATAAAGCTGGAAAAGCTAGAGAAGCTGTCATCTTTAATGAATATACCTAAATACTTCCAGAAAAACACTCCATAACTCAAAGAATGGCTTCTGACAGTTTCTAAGCCTGTACACAGCTTTTCCTCAAGAAGGCTCTTTTCACTTCAAGGGTGCTTTTTGGATGTCTGCTTCTTACTCACATGATACTTGGACAGGTTTGTACTTTACTCCATTAGAAGCAGTCCTCAGCAAATTGTTGAATCATTTTTTGATACACTATATATATTTTGACTCCCTAGGTAGACATGCCTCCTAACTCTGCTATACATTTGGAAATTAAAGTAGTCATGAAAAGCTCAAGGAGTTAAGGACGTATCTGATAGGAGACAACATGCTAATGCTGAAGGTGGTGCTGGCTTGAACTTCTTTCTGAAATTGTGAACAGCAAGGTGGCATCATCCTCAGAAAGCTGGAAAATAGATTCATGTTTTTGTAAGCCCACACAGGCTCTTTAGGTCTCAAATATTTCTCTCTGCTCTTTTACTTGCAAGCAAAACAAGATGCAGGTCCCTGGCCCCACCAAGCCATGGTGCCCCTCTTTCCTCTGAAGTGCCAGCACTGGTGATCCACATCTGGCCTAAAGGATTTTATTGGGCAAGACTGATGCTTGTACCCTCTCCTACAGCTCCTCCAAGGCCAGAGATGATTGCTGCAGGGCACGGCCAAACTGAACTAGCCCCTTGACTCCACTATGTTTTGCCACACAGGTGGGCTGCAGAGGATGGAGACAAGCCACTCCGCTGGAACATCAGTTTGCAAGCATGGTGCATTTCTCCTCTTGCTCTTTTTTCTTCTCTTTAAGCCTGAAGTATTCCAGCACTGTCACAAAGTCACAAAATTCCCAACTCACCTGCTATATTCAGACTAATCTAGATAGCCAAACTCTCACACAGGCAGCAGTAACGATCTCCCTCTTTCACACCAGAGATGACAAAGATCTGAGCCAGATGCCCCACCTCTACCCCCTTGTCCACACTCATCTGCTAAGAGATGACAACAAAGCCATCACAGTACAACTAGCAATGGGCAGGCATGCTGCAAAACTTGTGACAATATCTTTTTTTCCCCTCAAAAATCAAAGCCTTATCAACCTTTAAATTTCAGCTCACAGGCAGAAACGTGCCAGGCAGCCAGTGTTTCTACCACTTACCTACAATCTATTTTTCCCCTACTATCTGTTAGCAGCTCACCTTGCTCTGATCTCCCCCTACCTCCCATTGTGGACAACTAGACTGCATCCTCAGCTCAGAGGGCCTAAAGCCATATAGAACGATAGAACGGTTTGGGTTGGAAGGGACCTTAAAGATCATCCAGTTCCAACCCCTCTGTCATGGGCAGGGACACCTTCCACTAGACCAGGTTGATCAAAGCCTCGTCCAGCCTGGCCTTGAGCACTTTCAGGGAGGGGGGCAGCCACAGCTGCTCTGGGCAACCTGTGCCAGTGCCTCAGCACCTTCCCAGTGAAGAATTTCTTCCTCATATCCAATCAAAATCTACCTTCTTTCACTTTAAAGCCATTACCCCTCATCCTATCACTACACTCCCTGATAAAGAGTCCCTCCCCAGCTTTCCTGTAGGCCCTCTTTAAGGGGTCTCCCCAGAGCCTTCCCTTCTCCAGGCTGAACAACCCCAATTCTCTCAGCCTGTCCTCATAAGGAAGGTGCTCTAGGTCCCCAATCATCTTCATGGCCTCCTCTGGACTCATTCCAACAGGTCCATGTTCTTCTTATGTTGGCAGACCCAGAGCTGAACACAGAGATGCTACAGACCAAGACTGATGGGCTGCCATATCCACCACTGACCATGGTCAGGTTTGGGCATCCCAGGAGGCAGCAAGAAACTCCAGGAAGAGCAACATCTGCTACAGGATAGTTATAGGTCCCAGCTTAGGTCTATGGGCTCTTCTCATCTGTCCTTGATGGCAAATGAGATTCTCATCCAAAGCTTTCTTCACTACATCACTTCTGCAAGCTGAGGCTTGGGGAAGGAAGGCAGCACTGCCCGGCCTCAGAGAAGCCACCAAGTCAGAGCTGGGCACTGTCCCAACCCAGAGCATCCCAGGAGCTCAGCCAGACTGCTGTTTGCTAGGTTGCATGTGGCAATGCACCTTCATCTGAAAAGAGAAACACATGCAATAGCAAGCAAGAACAGAGCCTGGAAACACCAGCAAGGGCAGCAGTGGCAGTGAGGTTACTCTCCAGCTTGTGCCAGCACAGTGATGGCCCCAGCTGAGAGCATGGAGCTGAGCCCTTGATCCTCAGTGTGGGGCATTGCCAGTTGGACGATCAACCAATGTTGCGGGTGGGTTGTGCAACGGCACCCAAGTGTGGGTTTGCCTTAAAGCCTAGGGTGAGTAAAAACACATAGGTATCACTCCCAGGTACCATGTTCCCACATGGGGCATCAGTATGCCCATTCACACTGAAATGAGCAGGCATTTCTGTTTTCTTCTGAAAGAATAGAGCTTGTTGTTTCTATAATTGTGTTGTATGGCCCATTGCCTATGACCAGCTCGCCGAGCTACTGGCTGCTCTTCCTGTGGTCCTGGCACCTACATCTGTTTCAAATTCTTCTTTTATCACAGGTTTGGAGACTCCATGGGCATGGGTGTGTGTCACACGCTGGTAGAGGAAGGAAGGCGCTGCCTGAAACCCTGTGGGAAGACCAAAAGGAATTGCTGATGGAGGTTTGTAGGGATACAGAGGTATGCAGAGACCATAGCAGTAGCAACAAGAAGGAAAAAACACTTTAATCTTGCTCGAACAACATCCTGTTACAAGGATCACAGGTTCACATTAAACCAAGACCAGAGAACTGCCACACAGGAGAAAGAATATCACTTTATTTTAAAAAATAATAATTTAGCTCAAACAAACAGGATTGCAGAGGGTTGATCAAAGCAGGAAGCACAATGTTTACCCGCAGAACTTAAACCAGACCAATTTATTTCTCTTGTAGATAATACTTTCAGAATCCTTCCCTGTCCACAGCTCTATTTCAGGTCCTCACCTGCACATAAAGGAATCCTGACTCCTGGGGCTCTTGGTAACAAGGCAGAGGAGAAATGGTGTCTGCCACACATGAAATGCTATTCCTACCTCCAGAGCCTCCATGGAAGATCCAAAAAGCCAGAAGAGCAACACCAGCATCTAAACCAACATGCAATACAAAGGGAACAACTTGCACTCCTCCCTGGAAGTCTACCTACCCATGCCCCATTCCCAGCATCCTGGCCAAGTGCTTCCACCCACGCCTGAATTCGCGCCCTCGCCCACAGGTGCTGTACAGAGGTGTGCACACAGGCCTCTGAAATACTCCTCCCGCCCCACTCTCATCTCATCCAGACCCGCTGATCTTTCACCTCTCTCCGTGCCTGCGTGCCATACATTTCTTGGCACAGCAGCAGTTCGTTTCACAGTGATGGGATGTGCCCTGAAACACGCTGAGCCACTACTGCAATTTCTTTTCTTCTGTGAAGTGGCCCTTCATGCAATTGCCATTCTGATACACAGGGCTGGCCCCCTTCCTTCTGCACCACATCACAGATTTGTAGAGGACAAATCCAATACCGGCCAGACACAAGACCAGAAGAGCCAAGATGTCCAGGCAGAAGTACTCATATAAGGAGAGGTCATAGACAGCCGGGCGAAGATACGGTGCCCCATTGTGACGAAGGATGTACTCTAGCCAATACACTGTCCTATTGAGAGCATGCATTGGTCTGTCCAGGTGCAGAGCTGAGATGAGTTTGGCTGCTTTTCTGTAGCTGCAAGGGAAGAAGACAAGAAGTTATCCTCCTGACTGGAGTTTCATAGCTGAGAAGTGGTCTGAGGTGTCCACTGGTGCTTTCAAGTCCCTGATAATACCTCGGGAGAGTGGCAAATTTCTTCCATGACTCTTTTCACAAATGTCTCTGAAAGCCACTCTGATGGCAATCGTTAGCCATGGCAGCACAAACCAGAGTGTATTTCACTTTGTGTTTTGTTAACAAGGCTGGCAGTTCAGCTCCCAAGTACCTGATCAGTGGGTTTATGTGGATTGTTGCTTTCTAAGGGGAGTTTGCACCCAAAGACCTCACTCAGCATCAAGCAACAGTTGCACACTTGATGACTGGCCAAATCCTTCGAGGTACCAAGAAGATGAGGTACCTACTGACCTCAGTGTAAGTTGTTGAGAGCTCCTAATAGGTAATAAAAACAAACAAATAAAACTAAAAAAAAAAAAAAATAAATAAAAAAAATCAAGCTCTCGGGCAGCATTTCAAACACTAGCAGTTGCATGTGTCCTGTTAGAAAGTGGGAGCCCTGTGTCACTGTGCTGCAGCGCATCTAGGAAAGTGCAGAGCATCTGGTTGTCAGAAGGAACAGATAAAACATTGGAATATTACCTGCAGTCCACTCTCTCCGCTGTTTTGCAGCAAGCTGCTTAGACAAGACTAGGGAGATCCCACCGTGAGTTTGTGATCTCACTTTCCCTGATGACAGGCTGGCGTTAAAAGGAGAAGAGGTTCGTGCCTCAGCATCTCAAAAAGCTTTCTATGAAAATTAGAGTCAAACAGGACTAGATCATGCTCTCCAATAGCAAATGCTGGAGTATCTCCCTCTTGGACTGCATCTCAGGATTTTGAGGCACTAAGATGTCTGGCCAGCTGGGCAACACTTGCAACTCTGCTTTGTCAAGAAGTCACCACAGGCTGTGTAGGGGTCAACACAAAGACACGCCGGTCCCTACGTGCAGTCTGCACCAAGGAAGAGCTCAAGGCTTCCAGATGCCTCACCTGGGGTCAGAGATAACCGTGACAACAGCTTGGTAAAGATCCTCTTCTTTCACTCTGCTCCAGTCCATGAGGATACCCATGCCCTTCGCCTGCACTCTGGTCATGATGTCAAACTGGTCCCCATAGAAAGGAAATCCCACCACTGGCACACCATGATAAATTGCCTCAAAGACACCGTTCATCCCACAGTGGCTGACGAAGGCTTTCACATTGGGATGGCCTGAAGGCAAAGAAATGGCAGCAGGTCAGTGCCTTCCATGCTGAAACAGGGCTATCAGTGGCTTCCTCAACACACAGCGCTGACGTATGTTTAAGGAAAACCAGGCATGTTGAGCAGAGACTACCCTTTGGGAACACACCTTTTTCTTGGCAGCCCAAAACTTGATGAGCAGTGCCTAGAGGAGGAGGAGGAGGAAGATAGGGGCCAAGAATGCAGCTTCAAGCAGGTGTTAGGTGAGGACCATGTTTTGTACAGGTCAGACTTGCAACAAGCAACAGATTTAGACCCACACAGGTGCTGTTGTCATTGTGTGCCTTTGCTGTGGTTTGGGCTAAACTCCAGGGATGTTGCTAGCAGCACACACACACACAGTGCCCAGCCTTACCTAGCAGGTCATTCTGGGGCAGCCACTCCATCATCAGCGTATTCTCACCCAGGTTTCTTGGCTTCTGCCCAAAGTATCTATGGGAGGAGAAAGGGGAAAAAAATGGAAGAGAAACACATGGAGAACAATTATAAATTCAATCAGCTCAAGAGATGAAAAGAAAATTCTGTGTTTTGAGATGAATCACCCCTCAATGTTGATTTTCATCCAACTCGAGTTAAAAGAAATCCCATTCCCTCCTCACCTCCACACCACCCTCTGTGGGAGGCGAGCGAATGCGCCAGCCATCTTCTCCACCAAATCGCTTGGAAGAGCTCGAATCCCGATGCCAAAGGAGACAACAACAACACCCACATCTGCTGCTTCCACCCAGAGACGCAGACCCTGCGGGCAAAACACACAGAGCTGCCTTGAAGTCTTGTTGGAGAAAGGCCCTTCCCACTGTTGCCTCTGCCAATAGAAAGTTGTCTATGGAGAGAATGAAGCCAAATCCACCTGGAGCACAAAGCTACATGGTTTTCACCAGGCAATGAACTCTAAAACCGCTATGATTTCTGCACCCAGCCAGGCAGAAATTACTTGAGCACCTGCTGGGCTTGGGAGTTTGCAGGGAGGTATCCAAAACTTGCATTTCATAGTATTACCTCCTGCTTTGGAGGTAATGCAATTGCTCTTTGGCAAGGAGGGCTCTGAAAACATAGGGCCCACGCAGGAGCAGCAAGAGCAGAGGAAGAAATTGGAGTAAAAAGAGGAAGGCTATTTTCCATCACCACTGAGGCAGGAGGCCTGTCGGAGTCTCTAGTCATAGACTGATACAACAGATGAAACATCATGCAGACAGAGTCAGGAACAACATCTTGCTGGAGATCCCCCACAAACTCTTGAATGTCAAAGGCCCCTGGAGATGGCAGAAAGTTTTGCCATCTTGCCAGGAGACTTCTACCCATCATCCTTGATAGCTACTTGCAGGCAGAAGATTTAGTTTTTGGTCACTAGGCAGAAAGGTAGCTTCAGCTCCAGCAAAAACTACAGTTGTGTGTTCTTCATTTAGAGGCTACCTGTAAAGCTACATAAACAGGTGTGTATCTAGAACAGAGTCTATACTTTTTTCAACCAGGGCCAGAAGGCTGCAGGGAGAAGAAATCAGCCACCACAGCTGTTGTGGAGCAAACACAGACTATTCCCTTTTACGCCAGGCTCAGCTGAGCCTATTTCTCATTACAGATTCTGTCCTGCTTCAGGTTTCTCATGTATCACAGCTAGGAGCATTTTAGAAAAGTTTCATAAAATCCATCTTTGAATATGAATTCTTCCTTAAAATAAACACTATAGAAGAGCATGAAGGGCAAAAAAAATTGTTCTTCCTGTTATTAAAGGAGAAAATTAGGATGATTAATTCAGAAAGTCTTAATAATAGTAGTCTACAGGTTGGGGGATCATAGTACAAAAGAGTTATAAAGCACATTTTAGTGTTACTCTCTGGGGATATTTGAGCCTTGTATGCTTCAGGGACTCAAACCTATCTTTGCAGAAATGCTTAAAAAGCTCTAAAACAACACAACAACCAAGAATCAAGAAGTTTTCAACTAAGGGATTTTGGCTTCTCTATTCTCTTGAGTTTCACATCCTTTGATCAATACAACCACTAAAACTGCTAAAGAAGCGATAGTTTTACTTTCCTAATTAAAAGTACTATGACTCATAAAACAGATGATTACATTATTCATTACAATTGAGACTTAACATTTGACTTTCAGAAACAGCATTAAAGTTGCAAGGGAAGCGTGGTTGACCACCAAAAGTTCTCACCATCTCTCGAATACATATCTGTATTTCAGAGTACTAATTAGAGGAACTCACAATCACAGTTTCAACTATGAAGAAATAAACACCTTAATTACATAACTCTGCTCCAGTTCAGATGGGAGATTCCTTAATCTGCACCTAGACCTACAGAGGTCCTCTCTTCTGCTGGCATCCCCTAACCTGGACACAGACATGCCTACCTGCTAGCATGACAGCCACCGCCGACTGCAGGGCTCTGGACTTATCTCCATCATTCTACCCTTAGGCACCCTGGGATCAGTTCTGGAAGCTGTGAAGCACATGAGTAATGCCCCAGCAAACAACTCCCTTCTTTATAAGGCAGGTGTGTACGTGGCCAGATTGGACCAAGCCAGTGTTTTGTAAGAGCTGTGAGGCAGCCACTCTGACACAGCTTTTGAAGCACCCTAGGTGCGTTACATTACCTACATGCCGTGCCACATCGGAAAGGGTGATGTGCAGTCATACACATCTGGAGAATTTTTGTTCTAAAGCACCCGAGCTTGTTTTTTCTTATAAACTGGAAAAAAATGACACCCCCAAAATTGTTTCTATTAAAGCTGCCATCAGAGATCTTGACAGGCCTCTAATCATTTGAAACTTGAATCTTACTTCCATATTGGTCCCTTAGTTGGGACACCAGGACAGCCTGAGTGCCCAAGTGTCATTATCCAGGTCGATTACCCCTCAGTGTTTTTAAAAGTGGTAAGACAATGGGAGGAATGTCAGACAGGTCCTGCTCTGTTCCAATATTTCTTCAGTTGGAGGCTTTAAGAGCTTGTCCCTCTGAATTTATTACTGGGGATAGTGAGGTACAGGCCAGAGAAAGCCTCTGGGCTGCCCGGGGAGTTTTCCCTCAGGGCTGGACCCTGAGAAAAAGGCGATGATACACTTCAGTTTTGTACCCTTTGGGATTCCACATCAAATTTGATGAGGTAACAAGCACAGGTCTTCTCTATGGCTTCTTAAGACTGCAAGCTCAAGGGCAGAAATGCCCTGCAAGAAATAGGATTAAGGAGGAAATTTTGGATTGACATAAATCAGTGATGAAGCAACAAAGACTAATGGTTCTTCCCATTTCCACTTCAAGTATAGGAACAAACGAACTATTCATGGCCAAGTCCCAGGAGCAACACTGCCAATTTAGGACTTCCACACAACATTTTGCATGGACAGTGAAGCCAAATCCTGCACCAGGACGGACAACTTAATTCTACATCCTCCCTGCAGCCTCACAGTCCTCAGTGTTCCCTGTCTCCCTGCTGCACCAAGGCACCAAACCACAGCAGCCTTCCAGGCTTCTAGGGTGTCAGAGCATTTACAAGGCTCTTCAAAAGCTGATTTGCACTCAGTAACTCCACAGGTTAATGTGCAATCACAGCTCAAAGCTTTCCTGCACTTACCACTGGGAGGGTCTTTGCGGGCTCAGCGAGGATCCCCCCTGTGAAAATGACATGGGGGAGTGTTGGCCGGGGAAAGTCCAGCACTACATCGTTACAGAGGAAGAATAGGCTAGTTCCATGGACAAGGTCCAACATGGATGTCTTTGGCTCCACTCTGTGCTTCTCCATAAGACGTTCAAACTTGGGAAGGATGACCAGCTTTGTGGCCACACGAGTGATCATATAGACTAGGAGATTCCAAGTCCTACCAAAGAAGCCCATCCTGTCTGTCATCAGGGAGTTGAACTCGGGGACATAGGCAATGGGGGAAGTTGCACCAATCTCTGCTGGGAACCAGAAACCAGTGGAGATCACAGCATATTTGACATGGAGAATGTGGGCCAGGATAAAGCCACACATCTCATTGGGGTCCACCAACAGCAGATCAAAGCGCTCATGCTGGAGTTTCTGAAGAAGGGTAGAGTTTCCCAGCACTAGGTCACAGTTTTCCAGGTACTTCTCCAAAAAGGAAAACATCTCCAGAGAGGTCATCTTCCCTTGGAAGACACGCTTTATCTTCTCCTGCACCCAGGCATCTGCGCTCTCCGTGCTGAAGATACCCCAGTACCTCTGCATGCGGAAGCTGGGCAGGTAGGTTTCCAAATCTCGACCCTCATGAAGTAGCAGCACAGGGTCATGGCCTTGGTCAGTCAGTGCCTCTGCCACTCGCATGAAGACTCGCAAGTGGCTGTCAAAGACTATGGTGGGCATGATCAGCACCTTGGCACAGTGAGACGGCTCCAGACTGAATGCAGCCACTAGGAAGAGAAGAGCAGCAGGGCACGGTAGCACCTTCATCATGTTCATCACTGCAAGGAGAGAAACATGCCATTAATGGGGTATGAAATGCTCTGTCACGTACTTGGGCAAATAACAACTAGGACTGTAGCTGCAAGCCAGAAGCTCATGAGCTGAGAGAGGACAGCAGTCTGGAGTTTACCACTGGAAATAAAACAAATCAGAACAAACCACCACCAAAAAAAAAAAAAAACAATAAAGAAAAAAAGCCACAAAAATAAAATAAAATTAAAAACTCAGATATCAGGGTGTATCAGGGGAATTTTCCAGAAATTCAAAACCTCTTCGATGTGCTCATAAGGCTCAAAAACTATCAGGCTGACTTGCAGAAAGTTAAAGGGGGAGAGCAGCAGAAGGAGCTCTGTCAGGTCACAGCACCAGCAGAGACACTCGCTGCTCAATCTCTGGTTACTGCTACAGAACCAGCACAGCTGGATTTCATTTCTATTTCTGCCCAGCCAGAATGGCTGGTTCCCTCTGAGCCCTTGATGTCTGTCCAAGCTCGCTGGGAGGCCTGCAGAGCCTGGTGGGAATGCTGAGAGGCACGCTCCGGCTTTGGCCCTCGCAAGCCACTTTGCTCAGCACAGACGGGGTGGGAGCAAGCCCAGGCCACAGCAGGACCCTCTGAGAGGAACCGCAATCCCAGAGAGAGCAGCCGGGGTCTGGGTGGAGAGCTGCCCTGCTACAAATCAGCTGTGGGAGGGTGGGGAGGCTCAGGGGAAAGGGCTGGGAAAGGAGAGCAGGCACCAGGATACTGATGCACTGGAAGAAGGCAAACCCAGAAAGCAGCCCCAGAGATAAGGTGCAACACCCATGGCACACTGACACCCCTTAGTCACACTCCTACAGCTGTCATCCCATTCCCAGCCTGGTGAAACACCCAGAATTTCTGTTGTGTAAGGGGTGTTGCTACATCACTGGAAGCGAACGCGCCTCATCCACACCTTACATTATTTTGGGAGAATTACATGATAATTATTTGGGAACAGTCAGAAACAGAGCCCTGTCCTGAAGACCCAGTTCAGACATGCTAGGAAGGGGCAGGGGGAGGGGAAGAAGTTACAATGGGAACAATTATAAATGGATTTTGGATGGCCCCAGACTCTAAGCCCCAGGGGGGCTGCAGGGATGTGGTAGAGCAGAATTTGGTCCAAGATTTTCTGCCAGCTTCTCCGTTAATGCTTGATCAATTAAGAGGCAGGAAAGAAAGTCCCGGATAAGATCCTGCTAAATACAACCTTCAGACTCCCCTCAGCAGCTAGATATCTCTGGCCAGAGATAGCACATGGGTGTGCAGATGGGGGAGAGTAAAAGTGTCATACTCTTCCCCCCAGCATTGCTTTCCTGTCCTACGTGGTCATAGACATGGGAAAGAAAGAGAGCAGCCACTGGCTGAGACCCTCCTCTGTTTCAGCAGTAACTCCTATTAGGGCTTGGACTGCCACCCTTCCCACCCAGGGACAACTGCATGGCTGTGCCTGCAGGAGTGATGAGAAACATGAGAAATGCTAGCAGATACACCAAGTGGGTGGTTGGACCCACAGAACAAGAGGTCCAGGAGGATGGAGACAGAGGTGATGGGCTGGAGAGAAGAGAGGAGAAGCCCTGCAAGGAAAGTAAAGATCTGCCCAGGATCCTGCCTCCCTGAAAGCAGGAAAAGGCTGGCTCGTGCCGGCATCACTGGCCACCATAGAGCTACAGCCCATGAAGCTGGTCTAGTTCTTAGCTTACTTGAGAGGTCCAAAAGGGATTTATCCTGCTTAGCACCAAGGAAGGTAAAGCATTTGGCTATGACATTGCGCAGCAGATTCAGGGTGCATGCAGCTTCCATAGGAGAGAGGGAGGGATGGCAGCCCTATACTGCTGGCCTTCTTCAGGACAGAAGGATGTCAGGACAGGATCCATGACAGGAACAGGTATAGGCTTATCCTGGGGCACCTGGTGGGTCATACACACACATAAGTATGTTGAGAAGAGCACAAGAGGTAGTTTTATATGTGGAGTGGGGTGTTTTCTCATTGGGCAACAAGGAAAAGGTGAAGAAACAGTGCAGGTGAAAGGAATAGTTATTTAAAGAAAAAAACCCTGTCACCCATTTTCAACAAGGTCCATGGACCTACATGCCAGACATTGCTGAGACCCTCAGCTCTGCCAGGACCCTCTGTGGACTACCAAAATCCAAATGACAAGCCAGGGGTCAATCTCAGCCCTCAGGCTAGGGACAGATGCTGACACAGGAGACTTGCAGACCTCTCTTGGCTTCTTTATCCCTTCCAGCATCAGGAGCAATCCCTAAAGGTGCTGGCTCAGGAATCCATCCTCCCTGCCCAAGCAACAAGGGAGGCTGTAAATCTTCCTAAGTGGTGGGAAGATGCCAGGCTGCAGGAAGGGACCTTTTTTCCTACTCCAGCTCAATACCACTAGAGTTAATCTCTGTTCTGTCCATGCCCAGAAATAAACCCTGGCCACAGCTCCAGCCCTAGACCTGTGCTGGATACATCAAAGAGGTTTTCAACCAGGCACATCCCTGCTTTTTAGTGCTCCTGAGATGTAATGAAGGCATAACTTACCAGCTCAAAGGGCAGCACTCTGCTGGCTCCATTCCTTGTTCAGCAGCTAGTCACTGTTAGGATCAAACCTTATGCACACAAACGCTAGATGAGGGAAGGCTCAAAATCCACCTGCTCACCTCCTCACTTTACCTCTTACCAACACTGAACACGTAGCTACAGCTGCCCCACGAGCTTTGCAAGCAGGATCCTCCAGCAAGGGCAGGTGCTGTAGCCAGTGCAGCACCCTCCACAGTGTGGGACACTGGCTGCAGCCCAGCCCTCTGGCTACGGGAGCTCAGCTGCCTGCACCCACTGTCAGGCTGCAGGCAGGTGGTCTTCAAGAAACCTCCAAACTGCTGGGCACAGGAACAGGATTCTGCGGGGAGGTGAATTCACAGCCTGCACCCTGGCAGAGGTGCAAAATCCAAGTAAATGACAGGTCCCACACCAGAGCTGAGAGCAGAGCACCTCCTTGTTTGTGGTCTGAAGTCCTAGGCTAGGGGCTAGATCAGATAAATATTGTAAGAAATGACACTGCCACTGAAAGGAGCAGGCTCGTAAAGGGAGACCATACCCTTCCTGTTGTCATGACAAGCGCTCAGTAAGGCCATGCAAACTGGCTGATTTACACAGAGCAATCCCGCTAACACCACAGTTAACACTAACAGTCAGAAGTCTGTATTCAAGAAAACTGTTAAAAAAGCCCGTGCCATGGAGGCTTGAAGTTTCACTGCTGCAGCATGCAGAGCAGAGCTGGCATCTCAGTAAGAGCCAGGACCAGAGCCTGCTGCAGGAGGGGTGGGCAGGGGGAAGCCCTCATGCGACTGCTACTGCAGGCAGCAGCATCCCCACCTGGCCTGCACGCCTGGACACCATCAGCTGCTGGGAGCTTGCTTTCAAAGCCACAGCAAAGCCCTGAAATTGAAATGAGAGGCAGCAGAAAGGAAGCAGAGAGAAAACATCCCTCAAACTCCCCTGATAAACCTCTTACTGGGCTGAAATTTGACCCTTGATTTTGCTCTATTTAACATGTTTCACAGGGTATGATTTTGACATCAGTGGATGATTACATCAATTTAACTTAAGTGAAGTAACTGAACAGCTACAGCTCTAAAGGTAGATGTTTCTTTAATTCAGGTGCCTTTTATTAGGTTGAAGTACTAAAACCTCTTGACAGTCAGCCATCTAAGCCCACAAAAAGGGGGCTGTGAATGGACCCCATTGCAAGGACCCTGCCCTTTACATCTCTCCCTCTCCTCCAGTATTTTGTATTGCCTAGTTCCTACCAAGGACTAGGAAACCCATATCCATGGTGTTGAATTATTTCCTCTCCTGCATCCTAGTCCCTATCCAGATCTTGCCTACAGTAAGAAGTGTTTTTCACTATAAACTTCTCAAGAGTTAACAAAGCAACACAATTAATTTGAAGCCAAAAGGAAAAGGCATCTTCACTTGGATGCTCAAAACTCTTCCTGGAATAAGAAACCAAAGTTTGCCTCACCTGTTGGATATATTCCAGAACAAACAGCACTGTATGCTACCATCAAGTTGATGGCAGCCAACCCAGTTGTGGCTAATTTATAGAAGTCAAAACTCCATGCAAGTAGGCAGGTATACATCTCTCAAAGCAATTCTGACACTGCAGGAAGATGTCGCGCTACACGCAGAAGCTGACCAGTGGAATCTCTAGTAAAAATCTACAAGATATAATGCTGTATAAAGTAAACTTAATAAAGCACGTGTTAAAGCAGGAAAGTCTAACCATGAATCGCATCTAACCCAGTGCCTGGTGGGTTTCTGTGCTCTAGCTTCAGATTATCACAGACTTCTGTTTTGCTAGTCACCTGAGTAAATCACACTAACACTGAAAAGTACTAATATTAGTAATACAGTAGACTCATACGAGTATTAGTATTTTAGTATAGAAAACAATGAGCAAGGAAAAAAAACTCCCCTTCAAATATAAGCTTCCCCAGGCAGCCTACAGCCCTGAGTTTTTTAAAATATTGTTTGCACACAGAGTGAATAGTGCACAGATGGTCTGCTCAACACAGCGTACCTTTCTAGCATTTTTCTTCTGACATCTTCATGGCAGCCCCACAAGAAACACGGATAATGAAGAAAGCCTAGATCCCCAAAAGACCAAAGGAAACAACCATAGCAGTGATCAGGTCAGCACCAGAATAACTCATACCTGGCACCACACTTGGTGCTACTGCTTGCATACAATGGCATCAGAAGTGCTCTGCTCATCCTCATCTGTTTTGGACAAAGATTGTTGTCCAAATCAACCCCTAAGTCCCTGGTCAGTTCCAAACTTCTGGGACCTTGGGCCATCTTCAACATCCTTTCTGGCTCATTGGGGTTTTATGGATGAAGCTCTACAGGCAAGGTGGGAATCTGTGGGTCATCAGGAAGTTGTCAGTCCGTAGGTCACAGCCAGGGTACTACAGAAAATACTGGTCCATAGCAACTGAGAAAAGAAGTAAAGATCTGTATCTCACCTTGTCAAGGCATTTGAAACTACACACACCTTCAAGAAATGGAGCTGGGGGGATGGTGTCAAACACCACATATCTGCTTCCCCGCGTGGCCCCTCATCATACATTAAATCTGTCTAGGTGGTGAGTGATATTTCCCCCACTCCATATCCACAGGCTTCCTGGTTGTCTTCTGAAAGGGAACGAGATGGTTTGTGACACCACGGTGCTCTGCAACAGCCAGTTCTTCCGGGTGGCCTTTTCCCCTGGCTTGCAACACAGAAGCAGCTTATGTGAGGTTGTGCTCCTTGTGAGCGGTCTCAGGTCTGCAGCGTGGGAGCATTTAAGAACATTATTTGTAATCCCTAGGTGCAAGAGACAAAAAGGCTTGGGGCCATTTCTAAATACTCATGTGAGCCATAGACCTTGAACTGAGAACACACAACAGTTCAGTGCACATTTTAGTCTTAAGAAGGGTTTATGTCTGTACAGCAGCCAAGTTTGAACAAGTTCTTGAGACTGCAGAGAAAACTGGAGGGATACAAGTGCACCAAACTTAAAAGAAGCGGTCAAGAGGGGTGGGGAGGAAAAGAGTCTTCCATTTACTGCCCTGTCATTTCAGCTTCTTTCTGCAGAGAAGCATCACATTAAAAGAAAGGTCATTAAACACCCCAGAAGGTTGTGAAACCTTGTGTAGGAAGCACTAGAGATTGATAAACTCCTGACAGACAAGTCTGATCACCTTTGACAGAATTACAGAAGGAGAGAAGCTAGAGATGAGTCTTATCTTTAATAAAACAACTGACGCCCTCATGTAAAAAGGAAAAAAAACAACCAAACCAAACAGGTCCCTGGCTCCGAGCACCCCAGAGGAATGTGACCTGGCTGAGCTGCCATAAACAGAGGCTGAGGAGGGATGCATAGGAAGAGGAGGCAGAACACAGGAGAGGGAAGACACTCCTGAGATCTAATCTCCTAGAGGAAGATGAACCGAGTTACACAAACGCGCTTTGAACGTTTGTTCAGGTGCCAAGGCTCTGATCCCGCACAGTTAAGCAAACGCGTAACTCGTGCCCTTCAGTAGCCCCGCTGAAGCCACCCAGGCTGCTGCTCGCCCGCGTCCCGGCGGAGCCAGGCGCAGGCTGGCCGCTCAAACCGCTCAAACCGCTGCCCTCGCTCCCTCCCAGCAGCCGAGAAGCACCCGGGTGCCCCTGCCAGCAGCTCAGAAAGCTCAGCCCCGCCCGTCAGCGCTCACCCGCAGCCGCCCAGCACCCGCGAGTGCCGCCGCCGCCCGCGCCCACCGGGCCCACGATCGCCGCCAACACCGGGGGGGGCGGAAGGACCCTCCCCCTCGCCCGGCCGCCGGCGGGGCGGACTCCGCAGCCCTCGGCCGTGCTCGCACCGGCGGCGGCGGGGCGCTCCCCGGGCGCCCCGAGGAGTGGGGGGCAGCGCCGGGTCTGCGGGGCCGAGAGCCGGGACGGGGAGCGAGGAGCACCGGCCGCAGCTGCTGCCGTGCCGGCTCCTCCGGCACCGCCCGCCCCGCCGGCAGCGGTGCCGGCACCCACCTGCAGCGAGTCCCGCTGTGGAGCGCGGCCCGAGTCGCGGCGGTGGGGCGGGAGAGGAGAGGAGAGGACCGGCCGCTGCCGCCCGCCCTCCCCTTTCAGCCCGGGCGGCGGCGGGCGCGGGCGGGGCCGGGCGGCGCAGCCCCGGCCCAGGGGCCGCACCCACGGGCGGCCGCACCCACGGGCCGCCCCGCCCGGCCGGGCCCAGCCAGGCGAGGGGGTCGGGGGAGCACGGAGAGCCGCCCCCCGCCTCGGGCAGGCAGGGAGGCAGCGCCCGGCAGCTCCCGTTCGAGTCTCCGGCCCGGCCGGCGCGTCGAAAGGGCGTCAAAGCAGCTCTGCCGTGGGCGATGCTGGACCCCACTCGGACACTCTCAGGGCCGGGACGCCTGAGGAGGACGGCCGGGGGCTGCACACGCAGCGGTCAGGACAGTAAAATGGAAAGGAGGGCGCGTTGGGGAATGGGGACGCTAGGGACAGTGTTCCAGGGCACGTCTACACGTACAGCACCCGCCAGAGGTGGGGGTCCTGGTAGTCCAGTGCCAGCATTAACCACAGCTGAGACTGCACCAGTGATCCACGGGACAAGTAGGCCTAGGTGCTCCACGAGGTGTTTCCTTTACATCAGGACGGCAGCAGAGAGCAGATGTAGGTCAAGGCTGGTTAGCAGCTGCAAAAGCTTGTGAAGGGAGTTTTCCCCTAGGAGCGTTCAGCACATGGAAGCTTTGAAAGTCTCAAAGTATTCTCCCCCCCCCCGAACTTGTTCAGTCAGGTGATCTCTAGCAAGGCTAAAGACATTCTTTGCATCTGCTACTGAACCTTTTAGTGCTACACCTTCTCCTACAACATCATGTTTGAGGGGGAAGGTGGAAGGCTGTGGCAGACAGCGTTAGTACAGAGCAACCAAGAGTCCAACGTGCCTGGTGATTCATCCCAACCTTTCCATAAAGGCGTAGCACAAGGGGTAGAAATGAGCATTACAGCACACAAGACCTCCACCAGGCACTACCTATTAGAAAGTTTCTTTCCCTTGCACGTGTGGTCACAGAGGAGGAAGAAATCTAATGGGAGAGAGAAATTAATTCTTTTAACTAGGTATATACATAATTTTTCAGTTATGCCGCCTATGGTTTTATTCCCACAGGCTGGTGCTACCTGAGTTATGCTGCCAGCTGCCATACAGCTAATTCGGTGGCAATATTTGAAAAGAGCTAACCAGATATTCTGGTGGGAAGGGTCTTGAGCAGTCTCAGTTTGTCTTGGTGCAAGCAAATATTCTTCTAGAGTTTCATCCCAATTTCTTGAAGAATCTTGACAGCCAGCTGCACGGTCCACCTTTCATTTTTGAAGGCCTGTTGCATGCACAAGAGGAAGTAACCAAGGAGAAACAACTGGTTCTAGACAGATGTAGAGAGACAGTACTACATAACCCCCAGCACCGATACCCTCCCTTTCCCACCTCCTATTCCACACCTTTAACTACCAGGTCCACTCAGCTTACAAAGGCAGCAATCTTTTATTTCTCAACACATTAAAATTCTCACACTTAAAATACCCCCAAAACATTTTTTAAAAATTTAAGAGTTCCAAATATAAGTTCCTGATAAGAGGGCAAATGAGAAATCACAAGCAAGATGATGTTTAAATCGCCATGCAGAAAAAATTCTTCCCACCTTCCTTTGGCCTCTAACCTTTAATTCCTTGTAATAACCGTGGTCTCCTGGGCCCCCCTGCACTGTAGCCTCGAATCAAGGCACCAGATTGTGCAAGCCAGAGGGGAAGTCCTAAAAAACGCTCATTGGAACAAGTTGCAGCTCATGTATATGGGGGTGGCTCATCAAGTCTCATCCAACCCTCAATTAGGTGACACTGCTTTGCACACAAATGTAGGTTCCTGTAACAACAGGGCTCTTCTCATTATCATCCTTTGGGGAGGGAATGGAAACACGGAAATCGGGCCCTGCGTAGCCTCTCTCAGTGGCTGGCAGTTTCATGAGATGGGGTGAGCAGTTCTCACAGCCCATTATCCCATTTCTCAAATATGCACTACCACTCTTCAATTCTTACTGGCTATGGGTGCAGCAAACTGCTCCACAAACTAAACTTAAACCACCCAACAGGGGGAAAAAAAGTAGTTGGGGAAACCATTTTCTACCAGATGTGAGTTACACCAGAAATAAGGAAGCAGTCACACAACTGCAAGGAAAGCAAGCCCTCCTCTCAACAGCAGCAGGCTATTATATCGTCTCAGTTGCTCAAAAAAATCTCAGTTTAGGCTGCAAGTTACTGAACTTGTTTGAAACTCCCCACATCAAACATGTATCTAGCACTTCAATCCTTACAGCACTAGGCTTTATTTGCCTTAGTGCTATGGGGAGACTGACATTTTACTTCTTGAGAGGGATTTAACAGATAGAAAACAGCTCAAAGAGCAACTGATCCAACCCAGAAAAGAAATTTAAGGCATTAATGATACATTCATCTTGACTCCTAACAAGCTGCACAGCACATTGCTGGGAATAAGCATAAGCTGGCATGTTTTATGTTCAGAGAAAACAAGGAGTAACGCCACACTGTAGTCAGAGCCTCAAACAAAAACACAGCAAAAAGCAGAGCTGCGTACAAAAGAGGGCTTTATCTCCTCTGCCTCCTCACCCATTCCCACTGAGCCTAATGTCACAACCTCCATGCAGTCAAGAGTTTCTGCACATCTCCACTCCCCAGCTACATTCCCAATGGAAGTTTTATCCGGAGTGCCACAGCAGTACTAGAGACCTTGGTCTTTCTGACAATAGCCCTGAACTTGCAACTGCAAGCAATACAGTTACTCAACTACTAGGGTGTATTTAGACTCTGCTTCTCTAAATACTCTTGTTAGTGGCCTCAACAGGAGAGGAAAGAAAAGGGAGGTAGGAATTTATTGCAAGGTGAAACCATGAAAGAAAGAAACAGAAAAGAGGATCCTGTCACACTGCAACTGTGAACTTGAAATGTCAGGTGGGGGAGGGGATTACAGCCAGAGGGTTCAAATCCATTGTTCCTCTTACAGTAACCAGCCAAAGGCAGGTTACAATACTCGATGTTTCACAGGTATTCAAGTTAAACTGGCTGAAAAAGAAGTGAGAGGTTAAGATACAGAAGAATGATTTCTCTTTCTTCTACTAGATGGGCAGAAAACCAAAATGAAGTCGCTGCCAGCCTTTTAAAATAAGACCGTAGAAAATTTAGGTCTTGGAGGTCACCCAAGCAGTGCCAAATAACACTAGCTCAAGGATGGTTGGTTCCAAATTAGGGGCCTAAACCAGAATGAGAAATAAAAGGGGGAAACATCCAACCATTCTCCCACATCCCCACACTGGAGCTGCCTGCCCCACAATGGGCTAGGGGAAGTAGCATTCCAGGCAGGTTTGACATCCATAATGTCCACATGCCCATCCAAGCCATTCTGGGGAGCAGATGGTTTATGAATTCTAAAGAAAATGTTCTCAGTCACTTTCAAACTTGACGGAATTGACTTGGGTCGATATAGTGCCCCCACGGTAGCTGCCTCGTTTTTTCTTTGTCTTCTCATGACGGAAAGATTTGCCTTTAGTGAATTTCAGGATATTGTTAGCCTTCTCACCCCAGTCACCAGCTGCTCCTTTCTGTGAGGGATGAAGGGGGAGAGGAAAAAAATTCAGGTCAGCACCCAAGAGAGTAAAGGCAATGCTTTGCACTTCATCCCACCCAGCAAACAGCAGTACATTAATGCTGAAGCCGATACCACTCTCCCTCCCACATACCTCCTGCCAGCGCTCACACACTTCCTAACAGCACCTCCTGGTGGAAAAAGTTCCCACCAGAAAGACTGCCCACAAGCACACCGAGGGACTAGCCCTACCTTTGCTTCGAATGAGTTATCAGCAACACGGGCATCCACCTCAATCTCTTCTTCCCTTACACGGCGGAATGGAGAGGCTGGCTGTTAAAAAAAAAACGAGATACAGTAAGCACATACATGCACATGATATTCCCTTTGTGACAACTTCCTTCCCTCCTTGCTCTGCAAATATGGAGCCCGGTTTGTGTCACCTAAATCTTCAGGCGTTTCTCAGATTCGTAATTCTTTCCCTTCTCCAGATCAGGTAGATCAGTGATGCTCCCGTGCAAGCATATCCAGTCAACCTTTGACAGAATAATATTATGCACATGTGTGCTCCCTAGGCTTCTCCACACAAGATTCAAGTACTTGAGGAGAGTGCAAAAATACAAATAATTCTGTGGGCCCAACCTCCCCCCAAACCCCACAAGCCTACTTGTTCAGGAGGCAGAGATGCCTCTCCCACCAGTCACCACAGTCCACCCTCACTCACCCGTTTCACCTTGGGAACTGTGTGTGGTGTTTTGGCTTTGATCTTTGCCTTTTTACTGTGTGGTGTCTCTGGCTCCTGAACATCTTCCCTCTTCTGTTTCTTCCTGATCGTGCCTGTTAGATGTACAGCAGTAAAACTTCACAAAGGAGTAACTGCAGTGTTGGGAAAGGTAATGGCATCTCTCCCCCAGAATGCAAACCCAGTGTTGACACAGGCATGAGAATCAGTCTCTGTATTACCTCACCCAAAAAACAGACTGCTACAACAGACACTAATAGCCATTCCAGGTCAGAAAGGATTTTGCCATCCTATTCTAACAGGTAAAGATAATTTTGTGGAATAGGGTAGCTCTATATAAATGATTTAGTGCACTTGAGAAAGTTTTGTTGGTCAAAATTTACCAGTTCTTAGAGTCACACAGTATGCATTTTTATGCATCACTACTGCATTCAAAGTTGTTCTCCTCCTGGAGCGATGACTGAAATTGTGCACTGGGGCATCATCTGTGGTGTCCCACTCACAGATAAGGTCCTCCAGCAGTCTGCCTTGCTGGCATTAACAATCTTGTGCACGCACATATAGCAAATGGCAACAGCTCTACAGAGATGTACTCCATGTTACCACAAATTCCATTGCCAGCAGATAAGCAATATGAACAAAAAGGATCACACCAAATTAAAAACTAACCCTTCCCTCTCAGTACTGCATCAGATGGCATCATCTAATAGCACACAGAAATTAGACTGAATATTG